GTTTTCAGTTTTAGATATTGATTCCAGTGATAAATTGAAATGTTCCTTTGGTATTTAACTATCACTCTTCCTAAGCACTGCTACAGATATTATTAAGTGCTTTCATAATTTATTCAATCTTTTACTAAATGGTATTAGATATATTCTCTATGGAGAATTCATGGGAAGAATTTTCTTAATATTCTAGAAAGAATCATATGAGATTCTGGTAAAATTTTGGATCCATCAAAAGATTAAAGGAGAATCTTAACAAAAATATATTTTAATAATAATGTGCAGCATAGGATCTAGGCACTTTGAGAAAAGTGCCTATTTTAATATAAAACAATACAAAATGATAAAAGACATTTCAAATTATTTCAGTCTCTAAGAGTGACTTTCATAGAAAATTATCATCATATTTGAACCAAATGAAACAGGTAATTACAGGTGTCAGTATCACAAATTCACTTTTAAAAGTCAGATTTACTTCAGATACTGGGTTGAGTGATAATCTATGGGAAAATATTTTCTTTTCTACTTGTAAAAATGGGAACAAAAGAAAACATAAAAAATATCTACATATTTGCACAATTGCAAATATAAACTGTTTTCAGAACAAATACATTCCCATAGCACTTACTGGCTACAAGGCCACTAACTTATAAATTCCAAGCAAAAAAACCTATTTACATATGACTTTACTGTCAAAGAAAACATCTCAATCTGGATATACAAAGGACACATTATCAGAAGTCCATGTCTGATGAATTTTCAGTCACTCATAACATTCTTACTGCCCTTTTTTTCTTAGAAAGCACACATCGTCACTAAAGAAAAGGCATGGATTAATTTGCCCACCTACGTGTAATTATACGGATATTAGGAGGCAACTAGGTAATGCAGTGGATAGAGAGCTGAGTCTAGAGTCAGAAGACCTGGATTCAAATGTGATCTCAGACACTTACTAGTTATGTAGCTTCAGGCAAGTCATTTAACCTATGCCTCAGTCTTCTCAACTGTAAAAAGAAGATAATAATAGTACTACTTCCCAAGGTTGTTGTGAAGATCAAATAAAATAATATTTGTAAAGCACTTAGCACAGTCCCTGGCACATGGTAGGCATTATACAAATGTTATCATTCTAATAATAGTAGTAATCATTTTTTGTAGGAAAAAGGGGGAAATTCTCTTTTTTTAATAACTATACCTCTCTAAATCAGAGTGGGAACAGGGCTCAATATTTTACTAGAAGAAAATCATTTACTGGGTGTAGAAAGTTTTTGCTCTCAAGGAAATGTCAGCAATGTTCATTGTAGGAAAAGTAGCTCTGTAAAGTCTCCAAAACACATAAAACTTGACCCACTGAATTTTTACTGTGAACTCTAACAAAGAAAACCAAAACCAATACAGAACACAGAGAAAATTCAAAACTAAAGCTAAAAGATTATTTCAAGAACATATTCTGCTACTAGTCAATGACAAAGTCCCAAACAAACAGCATGCAGAAGGATCCAAACTTTTCCCTCTCACACTCAGAAAAATTCCCTCAAAAAACAATAGCAGGTGAAACATTAAACTTGAGAAAAGAATTTTGCCCAAAGTTGGGAGCAGGGAAGCCTAAAAACACAAACCTAATACTCCTCCCCACTCCCCCTCTTTACCCACATAACTATCAATCATGGTATTTCAGAGCAAAGTTATTCAAGACACATGCTATTATATCTTTACAATGACTGTGAAGAGACAATGCCCAGAGATTACTGTTCAGAAAAATTCTGAAGGAATGGTTTCCTTCTAAGCACTTTGCTTCTAGCTAAAACAAACTTCAAAGAAGTGAACGAAACACACTCTAAATGTGCACTATGAAATAAATCCTTTTGTGTAACATAATCCAAATCAAAGGATAAAAAGTTTTTTATCTCCTAAGTAAAGAACACCCATCACAACACATCCTTCTGATGGTGTCATGCTCACCCAGAAGGGGCATGGCTGTGGCTGAGATGCCCTCTGGTTACTGAAGATGAATCTCTGGATTGTTCAGAACAAGAAAAATCCAATTGTTATTGCTGTTACTTGATTTGGGAAAGGGTGAGGAGGGAATCGGATAGAAAGCAGAAGGTATCCTGATTTTTCTTCTTTATTTAGTGGGTGATAGCCACCACTTATCTTTTTCTTCCTATATATGATTAATAGTTTGACTAACTAACTAATGGATTGGACTCTATTTTAGGAATGTGTCTCATTCTGAAAACAGTTTGAATACACATTCAAAAAAGTAGACGCAAAGAAGTTTTCGGTAGCTAATTAAAGCTATATTGTAAATCATCTAGGACGTACAATAACTTAGATAGAAACTTTCTATCCTTGGACCTCACATTACTTTATTTTGTACTTCTCTAAAACACTTGAAATGAAGTTATAGCTCTCTGTGTTGGTAATGCCATTCCCTACTAGATTCTAAGTTCCTTGAGGAGACGTACAGTATTTTATCTAAACTATGTACTTTTATTTCCCCTAGAACCTAACACTGCTAGGTACATGATGGGCACTCAAATATACTGTATTAGATTAGAAAATGGCACTCTCCCTAAAAAAAGAATTGTGTTAAACTAAGTAATTCACTGGACAATCTAGAGAGCTATAATTCAGAAACAACTGTAGTTCTAGTCTGTGGCCTTGCATAAATCACTAAAATTTTCTACTTCTCAGTACTGCATATGTGTTTGAGTGTGTCTGTGCGTATGTAGGGCACCATACTTTATCCTTAGCAGTAGGGGAGAAACGTTCTGTTTATATTCTATACATGGCAAATCAATTCCTAATAATGAACTTAGAGAATGAGGCATGACCCATGATTCAGCAAAGTGAGAGCAAGGATTGGTTAGAGCCAGCAGTTGAGCCAGGGAAAAGTACCCTCTGAAATGACCCCAAGGTGCAGTTGGTCTTTTCAATCCTCACAATAGCCTGGGGAGATCCGAGGTATAGAAAAGAAAGCTCGGTCCAGTAGGAGTCTTTGGAGCAACAAGAAGACACAAGGCAAAGGGAAAACATAAAGTCATATATCTAGGGCCAGAAGAGACCTTAGAAGCCATCTGACCAGATCCCTAATTTTAACATGTTTGTAAACTGAAGCCCAGTGAAGTAAAGTGAAGCCCAAGTACAGTGACTTGCTCAAGGTTACATGGGTATTAGAGTTAGAGGTGGGATTGGACAAGGTCTTCTGATTTCAGAGACAGTACTTTTCCAGTGTACCACACTTCTTTCATTAGCCTGGACACCTAAATATGCTTGTTATTTTTGTTTCCATGGGCGGGGTTCCATTGTTTCCATTGGCTCTCCCAAAATAGCTTTTACACAATTCTTTTCAATGCATCTCATTTGGCCCCATGGTCCTAAGCCATATGCATTGTAGAGAGATGGGGTGCCTAAATACCAGTCTAGGACAGTAACTGGAGGGAACACCTTTTTTAAAAATAGAGAAACCAGATGCTACAATATGGCTGGGATTTTCTCAATCTACACCAACCCAGACAGAGTGGACTGCTTAAAGTCAAGCTTGGGAATTAAGAAGTCACTGTCAACTACAATAAGATAAAGTCTGGCTGCCACTTCAAGACAGGAAGCTTGAAGCCTGGGGAGGGTTCATTGAAAACCAAATGAGGAGGCAGGTACAAAAACATTACAATGCCAGTTTTATAGCCTGGTAGTCTAGGATAAAGAAGGTGACTATTTCCAATAGCCAAGAAACTAAGGAGTAGGACTCATTGGGGTGAAGGAGGGTTCAATGTAGAAACCAATAGCCTTCCAAATTCTTATCTCTACAATATGTTTACAGGAAACTGATTCTAGAAAGAATGAAATACTGACGATTTGCCCACACAAATCTGTTATGTACAAACCTAAATATGGTCTAACCCTGAAATTTTTATGTTACAAGTTTGTCGCTATGAAATTTTAGAAAAGGAAATTATGATAAAATGCAGACATTTATTTGCTAGGGAACAACAACAGCAAAAAAAAAAAAGTCAAAAACCCAAGAAAACCTAGAGGCTATTTAAGAATACTTTACTGGAAGCCCAAGATCAAAATGACAGGCAATCCAAAAAAAATTAAAATAGTATAATTAATAGGCACATTAAGAAGCTAACTGCATTCCACAATTTTTCCTGTACAAAAGCGGACAAGCTGAGTGAAACATTTAGAGAGTACAGCTAGAAGTACATTGGGGAAATCTTAAAGCCAAAATCCTTTAACGCTCTTAATTAATGTCAAAATTTCCATTCTGCTTTTTAGTGAAAATCATAAAATCAGAGTCCTGAGGCTGGTATCAGGGGTTAAAAACTGCTTTTCATCTCACTAAGTCAACTGTAATAATATTTTTAATATAACTCTTCTTAGAAAAACAGAATCCAGGATATTCCTCTACAAACAGTAACACTAGAAAACACAATGCATGTACATCAAAGACAACAATTTCACAATCATAAAACAATGTAAGGTAAGTGGTTCAAGGAGAAAAGTATTGAGTTAGGAATCAAACAATTTGAGTTAAAGTCCTAAGCAACTTTCTTATCACCTCTAGGCCTTAGTTTCCTCAAATGTGAAATGAAGGGGTTCCTTGGTGGGGACCCTGTAACCTCAAGGTCACATTTGGCCCTCTAGGTCCTTGAGTGTAGCCTTTTGACTGAGTCCAAGTTTGTAGAACAAATCCTTTTATTAAAGGAATTTGTTCTATGAAGTTTGGATTCAGCCAAAGGGCTGCACTTGAGGACCTAGAGGGCCACAGGTTCCCCACCCCTGTTAGACTCTGAACTCTAAGGTAACTTCCAGATCTAACTCTATAATCTTGGGAATTTTCTACATGTACTCATGTTCGGGCTACACAGAAAAAGAGCATCACTGGCTAAAAGGCACAGGGCTGTATCACTGCCTTGATTCACTTTTCTAATAAATGGAAATTTAGGTCAGACAAAGGTCTTCTAGTCATGTAGCTGAAAAAAAAAACAATTATTTCATACCTGTATTTATGAATGATGGCATTAAATAATTTTCCATCTCTCCAGCATGTAGTGAAATTTTCACAATGAATTCCAGCATAGCCTTCAGTTGTCTGCTGTGTCCATAATAACAATCTTTCTTTAGCAGACATATCCTCTGACTCTCCAGTAACATGGATATCAGATATCTAAAACATAATCAGGGAAAATGCTGCATCATCATTTGCATGTGTGAGGATAAAAAGTGCTAAGTTATGTATTCCTTTTACTTGACAGATTTCCTAACACAAAATTTATCATTTAGCTAATGAAACAAAATTGGACCTTCAATGCTTTTAAACCTTCTTTCATGAGTTGGTTAAAAAAAACAAAAGGCAATAAATTCCTCATATAGAACCTCTGTGGGACCAAATACTACAAATTTGAGAGGAGATTTTAGTCCAACAGGGACCAAAGAAAGAATGTAATTATATTACAAACAAAATAGGCTTGAAGTATCTTTAAGCTTTTCATGGGGAAATAGGAAATACAGAAAGACCTCTCTTAGAATGGTAAACTAATACTGTTAAGCAGCTGATTTTACCATTACATCATACTTCCATTCATTTCATTGTTAAAACTTCTCCATGGTAATATAACACACAGGTACTTCACATTATGATTTGCTTGTCCCAAACAATACTCCTTTGATAAAGGCCATCTCTGATTTACTGATAGAGATACTAAGTGACTATGTAACTTGACTAGGGTCACCTAAGTCGGTAATGAAGCTGTGATTACCACTCATGAAATGATTGTTCACCAAGCCCTTGTGTCATCCTGGGCCATGCATAGCACTGTATCCCAAAGCCTGGGCAGAAAGCCAGAATTTAGAGGGCCAATCCTGGAAAGGAAATGCAGGAACCAGTTGTGGTGCTCATGCCTAGTAGGTACATAAAATCTAGAGGTCAAGAAAGTGTGGAAAATAGAAAGATAAGTAATCAGAGGGCAAGAGATATGAAGAAACAAGGGAGGGAAGGTCAAAGCTACGTACTCAGTCTGGAAACAGAAGACACAAAAAGCTCTTATTCAATTTATCAGACAGGAGAAGACCCTGACATTGCCTTATAGAGGATGATATTCATTCTTGGATCCTTATTTATAATGGATTTATATTGAATCCTTATTCTGCATCCACTGATGTGGCCAGCTAAGGTTCCAAGGCAGCTGCACTGAAGGAACTGATGAAATCTAACAGATCCCAATGACTATGGAATACTTTAATGGACTTCACACACCACTACCCTTCTAATTATACTTCGCATAAACCATATCAAGAGATTCTCTATCAGAAGTCTGAATGTTTTCCAAAATGGCAGCATGATTAAAATTGTGTTTCTAGGAATCTATACAACTCTTTGTCATGGATTTGGATTAATATATTATGTATAGATGATCCAAATACATATATTTGTGTGTGTGTATGTATATAAATCGTATAGCAATATATGAAAGCCATATATAAATTATTACTATGTTTAGACAATGTAATATGTAAATATTTTTCTCTTTTTTAACCTGTTTTTCTGACTCTAAAATTCTATCTACTGTATCAAAGTTGCCTCTTGATAACTATAATAGCTTTCATTTACATCATCACTCCCCACCCATCCACCTCCCATTGCTCTGCCAGTCTATCAACCCTGCTCTATTTTCTTCCGTTTGCAGCCCTGGCCCTATAGTTAAATAGCTCAACTATATACTCTGCCCTTTATCCTTGAATCCTTTGCCCCACTGATCTGCTGCTCAAGTCATGCCAAATCCCAATTCTAGATTCCCCTGCAATTTACCTTCTTAGCACTTATTCACATTCTGCTCAATACCAATTAGAGGAAGTATAACAATTCATTACCTTATCTCAACAACCATGACTTGAGAGATGTTTTTAAAGTCCCATACAGACTTTAGGGACTTTGCAAAGGTTTGCAAAGGCAGCTCACTTATGGAACTAATGATAATTCACTTTTACAGAGTATTTTAAGGTTTATAAAATATCATAAAAACCCCACGATGAAAATAATGCAAGTATTATTGATCTCATTTTATGGGAAAGGACCCTAGTATCAGAGGAGGTTAAGTGACTTCCCCAGCATCACGCAGTTGGCAAATGTCACACAGGTGGGATTCAAGTCCAACAATTTTCACTGTAACATGTGTGTTAACAGTTCATTGTAACTCCTTCTCTAGCACTGATTTTGCATAGGTTTAACTATTTAAGGATATAATTTTCTAGCTTTCTATCTGTTTGTCAGGAAATTCAAAAAGTACAATCAAAACCACTTTCCTGATCTGTTTTTAATGTACTTTTCAGGAACAGAACCTCCTTGTCCTTTTTCTTATTCACCTGTTTTGAGTAGTAAATTCTGATGAAATCCAAATCAATCAATATCATTAACTATTTATTATGCTGTCACAAATATGTAGTAACTGTATTAATCAAAGCAAATTAGCAGGAAGATGTGTTTATCTCTAATTCACTACATATTGCATAGATATCATTTTAGCATGCCACATTTTTATTAAATATGAATCATAACCTGTTAAAATAGGAAGGAATCTTAGAAGCTATCTACTCCAACTCTCCTTATTTTACAGATAAGGAAATTAAAGTCCAGAGAGAAGTGACTTCCCTATGGTCACACAGTTAGTAAGCTAAATGGGAGAGCTGGTACTCAAATCTAGATCTGACTCTCAATCCAGAGCCTTCTCCACTAAGATGATTTATTGGGAAAATACATTTCCTTCTAAGAAAATCATATAAATTGTCATTAGCATTTCTATATATTACCAACAAAGCCCAGCAACAAGAGATAGAAAGAGAAATACCACTTAAAATAACTGAAGACAAAAAATCATCTAAATTATAGATACTGCTGATACCAAAGATCCCTCTTAGCTAAAGATAATCTTCAGAGAGATCTGATTCACCTTTACATTGGGGGGGGGGAGATTTGGTCAAGTTCATGCATTTTCCCCCCAGGAGCCTCATATATAAAGTTTATATGCTTAGAAGAGGACTGTTCACTGCTCTGTAAAATACAATGAAATATTTTAAAGTACAGATTACTTGAACATGTAATGCATTTAAGTAAATCATTTGTGGCCAGGTAGAGAAGAAAGCCCCTAAATGCAAATATCACATTCATTACTTCTATGAGAAATATAATTATGATCAGAAATCTGGCCTTTTGGGGAGGAAGCTATCAAACAGAGATTTTTTTTGAATTACACATGTAAGTGGCTAACCATAAATTTCAATGGTAACTAGATTTTTAAATATAACTATATTGTACCCCTGTATATGACCCAAGAAAGTAGTCAAATGCTTATGTCATGTCTACTATTCATAATTGTGCAATTTACAAATGAAAAGATAATACTATCACATCTTTCACCTATTCGTTCCATTTCACTCTGATGAGTAATAGAAATAAAATGGCTGCACACTGAAACACCTCTTTTCTTAAAAGAAAAAAAAATTAATAGTATTTCTCACTTTAACCCTACTGCATCTTGCCAATATACACTGTACCACCCCCACCCCATGCTTTTCTTGTATATTTGATAATCCTGGGACAGTGTGGCAAAGTAAGAAAATAATGACTGAATAAATCCTCCACTGCTAGAATGGGGCTTTGGGTGCGAAAGGTTCATCAAAGTTAGGGTGACTGGTTCCAATACCATGGAAAAAAGGAAGGAGGGATGGAGAGAGAGACAGAGAGAAGAGGGAAGAAGGGAGTGAGAGGAGGAAGGGAAAAATCAAGTAGTTCTGGAAGCACAAAAACCCACACTCAATGACTCTTGGTTAAGCAATGGGGCTTAAAAAAAAGCCAAATCCTGGTTGGTTCTAATATTTCTGCTAGGGTTGGACAAGCAGCATCAGACAATTTAAGCCACAGTTCCAAAAACAGCTGCAAGCCATTATAAACACCTAAGTACAAGAAGCAAGTCTTCTTTCTTAATTCCTGGAACCACAGATCTTCTCACTACAATCTTATCAGTGCACGAGGCTGATGACCTTGACCCTAATGAGTTAGTCCCATAACTGTCTACTTGCCTCGCCAAGCATACTTTCACTTACTGTTTTTATACCCATGTAATTAGCAGTCAAGTGCCTATCTCCATGGCTGTATTAACCATCCTAACAATTCTAAAACCTCTGAATATAGAAATAATCACAAACTCAAGTTTGGGGTAAGAAGACTTTTGCTTTGTTTTGTTTTTAAATCTATTCTGAAAGGATAATCCTCAGGCTTCCCTCAGCTTTGGGTATTTCAGCACAGGCACTGGTTTTCACAATGTTTCTGTTTTCCTTCATGACAGAATAACCAGGCTGTAGGAAGAAAGTTCCCAGCCATGGGATTCATGCCCACAGATTCTTTGTTAAGAACCTGGTGTCATAAGGGGAAACTAAACTCCATCTGAATCTTTTTTTTAACATTCCCTATAACTTCCAACAAGCACTTTTTATACATTTTTAAAGCCAACAAACAATTTTTAAGAATGAAGACCAGCTTCCATATGTTACAATTTACAATAAATGATTCTGATTCACAATAATGTTGACCCACTTCCTGAAACTGAATTGCCACAGCCTCTCCCAGTCAGCTGTAAAAGTAAGTGTCCTCTTAACAAAAGTCAATGTTACCAGACAACTGGGCAATCGTAATGCCCTATTTTTATAGCTGTTGTCATGGCTATGGTATCTACTGAGAGTACACAAAACCAGAAAAATCATTTACACTTCCTAGTACTTTATCCATTTTCAAAATACACACGTCACATATATTTCTATGATAGATAAGAATAAGGACAGTAACATGCTTTGGGAAAATAATGAAGAAAAATAATTTGAGTTACTTTGTCAAATTAATATGTTTTCTCTATTTTCTCTCAAATAATTTAGTCTATTACACATAATACTGGAAAGAGAGAACTAACATAATTTACTTTGGGGAAAAAGAAAATTAAAGGGGAATTTAAGAATCACTGAGTTTTAGAACAGAAGGGACCTTAGAGATTATCTAAGTCCATCAGAGGAACTGGAGGCCCAAGGTAGTGAAGAGATTTGCCCATGATGGGAGAAACAGCTCATCAGTAGCCAAGCTGGGCCTAAAACCATGGTCTCTTGATTCTCAGTCCAGATTCA